ATATTTGTCGTTATTTCAGCGACTAGTAACGTACTTAACGTTTTCAGGCTAGTAACGTACTTAAAACGCATGTAAACGAATCAAAATCCAGTTTTAAAGTGTATACATTTTTAGCTTTTGAAGTGAATATATTTTTGAATTTCAGCTTTTTTGTTAAGGATAATTTCTAAAATTTTCTTTTTTAAAAAACCCAAAATAACCCAACTGTACTCGTTAATTTTATAATGAAGCAGCGATTAACGTTCCGTGCCTGCAAATTCTATCATCAGTTCGAAAACCGACCTCTTAACATACATCTCAAAGCTGAACCCAAAATTAAACGTCCCAAGCCCTCGCTAAATACAAAACACTACACTGGGTCAATCGCTAAACAAAGACTACAAAAGTAAACTAAAATAAACATAAATTTGCATAGAACACGGAAGATGACGTACCGAGAACGCCAGTCGGGAACAGGCACAGGAATTAATGGTATGTCAGTCCTAACACTGACTACGAGTTGTCAAACACATGTTTGTCACTGTGGGGATTGTCCGTGAAGTCTGTCCCCAGTTTACTATCCGCTACTCCCTGACTAATGTATGACGCCGTCACGATGAGACAGAAGATGACGATGGTATGTTATCCAATCTTTTTGTTGTATATATTTTCACTCACTTGTTCATATTTTACAATTACTGATTTTTTCATTGGTGCATCATGCAATAGTGTCCGATGAATATTCTGTTTCAAAATCCCAGCCACTTATGGCAATCTTCCATATTTATTCGTGAAACACAGAAATATCTCAACGTCAGACCCAATTCAGTAGTGAACTCTTAAACTCCTAATAAAATGGTCCACGAGTAAATGGACCTTTTTGTTAAATATATCAATATATGTTAATTGTTAGGTGCGGAGCTGTTGAAGAGGCTCGTCCAATAAAAGATTGGAATTTGATCACGTGTTGTAAACTGATGGCGCGAGACATGTTCTGCAGACAATTATCGAAGGAATACATGCTGAACGTGCATTCCATGCAATGCGTTATGTTAGGATGTACACATGACATTATATTCATTATCAGGGTGTATCAGAATGGCTGCTCTTTTGACTGCAAAGGTCACCTTTTCGTTGATTTGATTTGATTTGAACATATTTTATTTATTGAAAAAAAGGATTGGGCACAAGTTATCCAACTTAATGAAGCCCTCTCACTTTTTTCTTTTCTAAGAGTTATGCGTATCAATGCTCAGCAATATGTGAGAAAGATTTGGATACTCTGTGACCCGGTTCCACAAGCTTCACAACTGATTAACGAATTTGGAAGACTGAATAAGTGAGTTGGAATTTCCTCCCCTTAGCTAAAGTCCTACCATAACAAGGTCAGTGGGGTAGCCTAGTGGTAACAATGTTCGCCCGTCACGCCGAAGACCCGGGTTCGATTCCCCATATGGGTTCAATGTGTGAAGCTCATTTCTGGTGTCCCCCGCCGGTATATTGCTAAAAGCGGCGTAAACATAAACTCACTCATTTATCGTAACACGGGCGGATACCAGAGAGGTGACTTCACAAATTGTACTAATATAGGAATCGAACCCTTGTCTTTAAACCTTGCGCGAGGCTACTCCACTTGCTATTGTGCTGTGTGGAGGTTGTATAATGACGGCGATCTTCGTGTTGAGATAGCTTTGTGAGTGCAGTCCCGAGGAATAACGTACAAATGTACTTCATGAAGACTACAATTCAACTTTGACATGAAAGAAGCATGACTGAAAGCTCAACAATCCCGCATTCAAATTATGACAAGTGTGACGATTTATGCAACATCGATGAAACAGTGATGATTTATACAATATCTATTAAACAGTATGACGATTTATACAATATCTATTAAACAGTGCGACGATTTATACACTATGAAACAGTGTGACGATTTATACAACATATATGAAACATTGTGACGATTTATACAACATATATGGAACAGCGTGACGATTTATACTATATGTATGAAACAGTATATGAAACTTTTACGTTGGTGCAAGCGATACAACCCATTCCCTATTCATAAGAGATCTGTAAAAAAATGCTAAAAGGGGGCTCTTCAGTAGGATTACGAGGCCGCCATAAGCAGGTGCGACAGCCCAACAGTGAGCAGGCAACATAGTACACATGTACTGTCTGGACACGGACCATGCGCACAACCACTTGTCATTGTGTATACCATGTTTGTGTCAACACGAGGAAGCCCTGTGGTTAAACTATTAGAAACCAACCGGAGTGACTCTTATTACTCCTTCACATAGATTCAGTATGTGACGTCTTTCTTCAAAGGGGCGGAGAAGAATTTGAACGTGGGTTGAAATGTATGGTTGAACAATCGTCAAAATGGCGTACCACCCAGGAATCCAGTCACTTGTAAACTTGCTATATTCTACAGAAATGTTGTCACAAATAACGTAAATGTTGTCCAATGAGCAATCCATTCTTAAAGATACAAAACGAATGTGATATGTTGTGCTAACACCCGGTGTCATGACTGATTTTCATTGAGACATTCATACAATGTTAATTGCTTTTTTATCTTTAACGCCCGCCCACAGGAATCCGTTTAAGTAAATAATCTGAACTGAATATCTTCTGACAGTGACTTTATATTAAGTCGAGCTGAATGTGGCTTAACTGTTCTTTAAGAACGAAATATACGTCTATTAGATTTAACCGATGGTGATACATGATCACATGGAGACGTGGAGATCGCTTCACAGTGGAGGTTTCTTCACGGCATTCAACTCTCGTTAATCCGGTTGACAACGATTCCACAGATTATCCTATGTGGTTAAAGAACTAATATTGCATAGGTTTTTTTTTTGTGTGTGTGTGTGCAGGGGTGCGTACCCCTTTTGTCCTGAAAGTATATTTAATGACCCACGAAAACGGGTGGAAATGTAGTGTGCGCACCCCTTTCTCAAGAGTGTGCACACACACACCCTTTCTCAAAAGGCTGTATCCGCCCCTGGATAACAGTGACGTCATTGTGGTGGACGGTACCGCTCCAGTAAGCGTCGATTTTAAGTTTTCTCCTATCTAATGTGTAATTAATCACACGGAAATCGCCACCAAACTACCCCGAATATGAAGATCATATCATCTTATCTGACTACGCTGATAACCTTCGTAATCGTTAGCTCGAGGCAATTCACAAACACCTGCGCCAAGCCGTTCATCACCGGTATATCAGGTTCATCATAGCTTCACTACCATCTTTGTTTAATCCGTGAGATCCGGGTTAGAACTGGTCTTCAGAAACCCATGCTTGTCGTAAGAGGTGACTAACGGCAGGGTCGCTGACTTGGTTGACACGTCTCATCGTATCCCAGTTAGGTAGATCGATGTTCATGTTGTTGATCACTGGAATGTCTGGTCCAGACTCGATTATTTACAGACCGGCGTCACATAGCTGGAATATTGCTGAGTGCGACGTTAAACAACAAACAAACAAAACACGTCTTTATGCGGTATGATAGACATATCGCTGAGTTCTGCTCCTCTGACGTCAACAACACAGACGCAGACACCCATGAACAATAAAACAGATGGCGACATTGCCAAGATTAGTAGATGTTTGGCGGGATGTACTTGACAACCTCATATGAATATGCCACCCCCACAATAAAAGGGCTGTCAAAGGGATTTGACTGCTTCCCACATGATCTGTCTTGGCGAAGCTGGGGACAATGTAGGCTTACGGATAAGACAACAGCGCTCATCTGCAGCTACCTCAGTGACATGTAACACCAATTAGTATAAAACTAGGCTCAGTATAATAAAGAGAGTACCGCAAGGCTCTATTTTAGGTCCTTCTCAATTCAATATATATATTCGCTGGATGAGTCCTCATTGTAAAATTACGCTGATGGTAACACATTGTCTCATTTGTATATGGGAACAGATAACGACGTATCTGCCCTAAACACACTGAAGCTGAAATAAAAGATGGTTTGAGGACATTAAAATGGCCTACACAGAGACGTAGGACAATAGGTCGTACCGCTCTGAAAAACTTTACTGTTTCAGAAATATATAGCCTGTGATGACTAATCCTGCTTGGTGTGACCACATGCTGGCGTTTGATAGTCCCCTTGTTGATATATGCAGTCAGGCTACAAAACAACTAGCAAAAGGGAAAGGGGACGATAGTTATTCACAAGACCCTCATCTCATCATATTCCCCTTATGTGGCATTTCTGCAACAAAGATATCACAGCAAATGTCTGTAGCAAGCCCGTAACCTAATATGATGATTTTAACACCTCACTTCCCACATGGCACTAATGCACTAATTTTCTTCATTTACTTCCCTTAAAGGACATGGCTTTGAAGTATTCAAAATTGTTAACGTAATTATTTCAAAGTACAGTAAGAATTTAATAACCACACACCTAATCCCTGTGTGAGTAAATAACTACTGAGATACAAGTTTAAATCATCAAGGGTCGGGTTAAGTCATTTACAAATGAGACTACTCGAATGTGGAATTATCTGCTTAATGAGCTGTGTGAGTCGGAATCATGTAAACAATCCTGCCGGCTGTCCCAGGTCTGCAGGGGCCCCGGATGTTACTGCTCTGTTTGAAAATGCAGTACAATATCTCCAGTGGTCCTCTCCTCTTTAATTTGCTATACATACATGTACTCTGCCTATACTAGTGTATTCTTTATGTCGGCAAAATAGCTCTTGAGGGTTCTTTTTGGCATCTTCTATTTAGTAATCATCCAGTTTGTGCAGTGTCCGGAATAACCGAGGGTTTATGTTGATCGAGTGGCACACATGGTGTCATAGTGCCTGGGTGGTATTGGTCGTTGCTTACGTTTTCAACCACTGGTTCGCGTGGCCAAGATGCGATTATCAACAGCTATGATATAACTGAAATGATTGTGCCTGCAGTGTTATACAACATTCACTCGCGCTAACCCGCCCATTCGGCAGCTGTAATTCATAGATTCCTTCCTTTTCAGGAGGTGAGCACCCGATCAGCTGACGCCTATCAGAGTCAAAATGATGAACGGAACCAAACGCCGTCTGACCAGGAGGAGAGGGGGCAGTGGGGGAACAAGGCGGAGTTCGTCCTGTCCTGCATCGGTCTGTCCGTGGGGCTGGGCAATGTCTGGAGGTTCCCCTACCTGGCTTACAAAAATGGAGGGGGTGAGTCCCACTGATATTTTCTCGGTCGTCTTTACAACTCCACCACCCCTTATCGTTATCGTGGACATTCCGACTCACCTGTGCGTTTGGCAAATGGCATTTAATTGAGAGGTTTGGTGTGGTGCATGTGGAGATCAAGCTAGGTGACCTGGGCCTCTTTACACAAAGCACTAAGGTGATCGTAAGTCAATAAGGTAACCTTAGTGCAATGTTAAAGAATGGGAGTTAAGGTTAACCTTAGTAAAGGTTGCTTCGTGAAAGGAGCCCCAGGCCATCAAGCAGATCTTGCTAAAAACGGCGTAAACCATACTCACTCACTCACTCACTCATTCATAACTTTGATCATTCCTCCAACATTATGCTATCAAATGCTGCCAAAAGAAGCGACAAGAACACAAATAACTCACTAACTCGTTGTTTGTTGTAGCCGCCTTCCTGATCGCTTACCTGGTCCTGCAGCTGTTGATCGGGAAGCCTATGTACTTCATGGAACTGGTGATGGGCCAGTTCTCGGGGAAAGGTCCAACAGGTGTCTGGGAGATGAACCCCAGTGCCAAGGGTGAGAAAATCTTTGTAAACAGGCGTCTAGGAAATAGCTTAAGATTACTTGGTTTTAGAAACCCTTTCGATCTACAAGTGAAAATACTATGCCTCTCCCATTCTAAAAATGTCAAGTCTTTTCAGCTTGTACGATGCGAACAATAATTAGGAACCAGACTCGAGTGCGCGAGGGAAGAGTAAAATGGGTCTTCTTTTCTTCTTATTTGTAGATCCCATTTTAAAATGTATGTTTAAAAAGATTCACACCACTGACAAAGATAATTACTTGTTTGCTTGATGGAATGCTAGATTGTCAAGGCCTTGCCCATCATCAACTACCTCTCCTGTACAATTGGTTTGTTTGTTGTTTAATGAGCATGAGCATCGATCTACACAATTGGGAACCGATGACTTGTATCAACCAAGACAGCGAGCCTGACCACCCGATCCCGTTAGTCGCCTCTTACAAGCATGGGTCACTGATGACCAGTTTTAACCCACGGGTCATTATTTACTAGAAAACCCATCTAAGGTCCAGTGTTATTGCAGGTATTGGTATCGCCATGGTGATCATCTCCCTTGACGTCGCCATCTACTACAACGTCATCATGGCCTACACACTCTACTACTTCTTCTCCTCTATGCAAGCCGTGCTGCCATGGACGAAGTGTAAAGAGGTGAGTGAAGATTGTCATCTTGATCTACAAATAACCGGATTAACGGATAGCTATATCGTAATGATATCCCTTAATAGGCCTTGTTTTCTGTCTCTTTTACATTTGCCCTACAGTTTCAGTCAAAAGAAAGATATAATTAAACATTCGAATTTTAAAAATATATGTTTGTTTCTTGATTCGTCATAATTCGTTTTGTTTTTACATTTACAGCATGCTTAATTATAGTTATGTAAATAATTGATTTAAATTGATAACGAATAATTATGTCGTTTTGGTAGCCAAAGGGACATGTTAGCATAGTGGCTGGAGTGCTCGCTCGTCACTAAGCAAATTAAAGGTGGTCACCGCTTTCATAAAGCGTTTATATTGGTTAAAGACTGGTTCCTCATTCACTTTGCGGGTCGTCAGCTTGCGCCAGAGCCCATAACGCTGTATGAGATATGGGTTCAGCGTATATTGGTTAAAGCGGCATACACGCTCATGCTCTCACTCACTGTAAATGGTTTCCAGGAATGGATCGAACTGGGATGCGTGGAGCAGAGAAGAAAGGCGCCGCCATTCTGTACAGAGAACGCCACGTTGAATGAGCTTTTGTCCGAGTGCGCCTGCACTAAGAATGAAACGATCGACCAGTTCTTGACCGTCAACTGCACGAACCTCACCTACACAGGTTTACCCAAGTCTTCAGCGGAGTTTTTCTTCAAGTAAGTAATAAGGATAATATAAGGACTACAAACTGAATATAAACGGAGATTGAGATACGAATGTTGCCATATTGCCACACACGACACAGTTTATGTTTAGTGAGTATGGTTTGACCGCGCTTTTAGCAATATTCCCGCAATATCACGGCGGGGGACACCAGATATGGGCTTCACACATTGTACCCATATGGGGAATCGAACCCATGTCTTCGGCGTGACGAGCGAACGCTTTAACCACTAGGCTACCCCCCCCTATATCTGGGAATCATGTACATCGATTAGAGGCAATGTTAATATACATTACCCATTCGTCGTTAGGAGCTGTTATTTCTGGACCCCGTTCCTCATAGCGATCGTAGCGCTAAGATGGTCGTAACTCCCATACTTTAACATAGACTTACGACAGTCGTAGCTCTACGATCGCTTTGAGGAACGGGGCCCTGGACGTTGGTTGGCACCTGGTGTTTCCGAAGGTCTTGACATCGTCATTATCCTCCAACAGCGCAGGACGTTGCTCCTATTATGATGCACTACTTTGTCGGGTACAGACCAGATTATCGTACAACTGGAATTGAGTTATACAACATGCAAACAAAGCGACATTAATGTCTCCAAAATGCAAAGCAATAAACAGAATGAATAATAGTTCTGGTTTATGTGAGGGGGATGGCGTAACCTAGTGGTTATTTATAGCGTTCGCTCGTCACGCCGAACACCTGGTTAGATTCCCCACATGGGTACAATGTGTAAAGCCCATTTCTGGTGTCCCCCGCCGTGATCTTGCTGGAATGTTGCTGGAATGCTGCTAAAAGCCGAGAAAACCAGTCTCACTCACATACTTCAAAATCTGCTACAGATGTCATTTTGAAGTCGATTATAAAAACAGACTGGTGTATTAATAAGAGGTTAGGTATATCACGTGGTTTTTAAGACGGACAAAGGAACAGTTACATAACTGACAGTATCATTGAGTCGTGTCATGCGAGCGAAACTTGTTACCGTTTTAGATTTAGATGTGGTATTGAGAAGAGCCACATGAAGAACAGGCCACCCAGAGTTGTGTCCCTTCCCTGTGACCTGGGGCTCCTCGTGAGCTTGTTTTCTCTTGCCGTCAGGCGTACATGTCTCTTGTCATCAGACCTACTTGTTTCTTGCCATCAGACGTACTTGATTCTGGCATCAGACCTACTTGTTTCTTGCCATCAGACCTACTTGTTTCTTGACATTATATGACCTTTTTCTCTCTACAGTGAGGAGGTTATTCAAAGGTCCGCTGGACTCGAACCCGAGAACATGGGCGCGCCGTTATGGAAGCTGTCACTGTGTCTCCTACTGTCGTGGATTGTTGTCGTGCTCTGTCTCATTAAAGGCGTTAAGTCTTCAGGCAAGGTAAGGTCAAGTCTGACATAAACATACCTTTAATTTGAAACAAAACTATTAAATGATCTCATTCGAGCTTCCAAACACACCTTTCTTGTCATAGTGGGAAGGGTATCGGGGCACCAGAATGGCCGCTGGCTTTGGTCAGTTATTTGGGGACAAGACATAACCAGGATCCGATGACATGTATCAAACAAGTCGGCGAGCCAGACCACCCGATCCCGTTAGTTGTGTGGTCAACTTAGTGACTGATGGCTTTGATCGATACTCATGCTTTCTATCACTAATTTTACAGATTGCTTTGATGTAGTCGGCCATATGCCGAGTCCGGCATAAATCAATATATTACTCATCAAATATGCCATTTTAATCAGTATTTGGTGTCACACAAGTGTATGCTCCAGGTAATACATGCATTACTAACTTTACTTTACCTGTGCCATTGATAGTACGACGTAATTCCACATTGGTTATCTTATTGTCGTACCTTGCATATTACCGTAATTTTCTCTGTCTGATGTGTAACACGTTGTATATATTTCAGGTTGTATACTTCACAGCCACCTTTCCTTACATAGTTTTACTCATACTGTTGGTGCGAGGAGCGATGCTTGATGGTGCCATTGACGGGGTCAAGTTCTTCATTATACCTGAGTGGTCAAAACTGCTTGATATAGAGGTGAGTACCATACCCTATCTCTCTCAGGTTAAAGATGACCTACAGCTTCCAAAATTATATACGTTGGCTAGTGGTCTGTAGTGTTGCGGAGTTACTTCGCTTCCTGGTACCAGGATCCGCTGATCATGGTTTCGAATCAGTCTTAAACTGAGTCGGAATGCGTTAAATAAATGGATGCGATAACAAAATGATCAACATCAAACACTCGCATCACTTTTTCCACCAATAACCTGAAACAATTGACACAACAGAAATATTCAGTATTTGGGCAAATTCCCTCACTCACTCTGTCCAGGTGTGGGTTGCCGCTGCGGGACAGATGTTCTTCTCGCTGTCGGTGTCGTTCGGTGGGATCCTCATGTTCGGCAGCTATAACAAGTTCAGTAACAACGTGTATGGGTGAGTAACACGCTGACATTTCTATTATCCACACCATGATACCATTCGTAACTACTCGTGACATTCCGGCAAGCCGGATGGCGTCTCGTACCCCTCTCGTGGCCATGTTTACGACTAGGACCTGTCTAAGCGCAAACGGGCAGGGAGATGAAAATAGTCTTGTACTTGTACCAAGGAAAGATAACTTTGAATTTCCAAACAAGGCTACTCCAAGAAAATCCTATAGCTATATCCCATGGACAATACAACTATACAGTCATTCTCTTTGGAAGTATGTTACAGTGTTGAAAGTTGCTGATCCTTTAGCTCAAAGTTTATGTTTAAATTGTGCTTTGCATAGTTAGCAAAGTTTCAAAGTTCAACGATGCCGCCATTTTCATGCTTCGAAATGCGTTTTACTACGCGCGATTTGATTGCTTTGCCACGATTCTTGGCAATAATGGCGTAGGATAGAGGTACGAGTCTTCTTGTAGGTCACGGAAATGACCATGGTACCTGTCTGCTTGCCAACATTGTCTCCCTTGTCAAATGACATCCCTCATGATGGGTACAACTGATCTTCAGTAGGTCATGCATGGCTTATCTCCCCTTGGTGAAGTTTCTATTGGTCTTCAGCACACCTTTCCAGTTAAGAGGCAGGGTGATTGAGTACGGTCTAAAGCCGCTTTTAGCAATATTCCAGCAATATAGCGGCTTAGAGACACCAGATTGTACCCATGTGGGGAATCGAACCCAGGTCTTCCACGTAGCGGGGGCGTTGGGGTAGCATAATGGTTAAAGCGTTGGCTCGTCACGCCGAAGACCCGGGTTCGATTCCCCACATGGGTACAATGTGTGAGGCCCATTTCTGGTGCCCCCGCCGTGATGTTGCTGGAATATTGCTAAAAGCGGCGTAAAACCAAACTCAGTCAGTCAGTCAGTCCACGTAGCGAGTTAACGTTAGTTGGTCAGGTTAATTGACTTGGATGATGCCAACCATTATCAACCATAGTTCAGCAGATCGATCCTCATGATGTAAATCTCTGGATTGTCTGGTTCAGACACGACCATTAATAAAACAAACAGACAACAATTATATCATGCCATTAATGCTGCTTCTAAAAGTGGTGACAATGGTGACACAGTGGATTAAGGCACCACAACCCACGCGGGGTGGTCGCGGGTTCGAATCGCAAATTTGCTCCTTTGTTGCTCTGTAAAAACATATTTTATTGAGACAGACAGCAACTGGTGTTTTATTTCTGAACACTCTAAACAATCAAATAACCACATGAGTCCCATAGGGTCGGTGTCAGAAATGTACACGTCATAAGTCATACAGTCACGAACTTTTTAAAACTGCAATATGTGTCTTTGTTCCATTATTAATGATTGTTGACAAAGATTTAATTTACTAACATTTAACGATTGCTGTTCGGTAATTATTCCCCTTATGTTGACTATAATACGAATTCTGAGTTGCTTCCCTTTCTTTCCAGCGACGCGTTACTCATTAGTGTTATGGACTTGGTGACGAGTATTATAGCAGGGTTTGTGATATTCACAACCTTTGGTGGAATGGCCAAAACCATCGGGGCCAACGTCACCGATGTTGCTGAAGCAGGTACGTCAACGTCGATATTTAATGCTAAGTCAACATCAACGTGATTCTAATTGCAACGAGAACAATAAACTTTTATATTATAATGATATTTTTAAAAGCAGTAAGAGTTTAAGTATTTTAAAATCTAAACAATGTACCCAGCTGAATATGACGTCATATTTGTGTCTAGGTTATGGACTGGCGTTCGTGGCCTACCCAGAAGCGTTGTCCAATTTCCCCTTACCTCAGCTGTGGTCAGTCATCTTCTTTTTCATGCTGTTTACCCTGGGGCTGGACAGTGAGGTGAGTGACCAGTCACCGTGTTCATGGTGAACAAAATGGCGTTTCGGTATGGATTTTATTCTCGGCTCACTGCGAATCGCGAACGTTATTGATGTAAGAATGATCACCGAATTCCCAGCCGATCCTTAAATTGTGAAAAGTGGGAACAGACGGGGCATACATCATCAACTAAGTGAATGGCAGCAACAAGGGTTTGCCTGATCCATATTTGATAGGTTGAAATTACAGATGAAACAATGCCACATATTCTTGAAATTCCCCCTTCATGAAATGTTTCTGACGCTTATGACATCCCGTCTTCCTGTTCGAACATTGATACTGGTGTGAGTGAGTGAGTGAGTGAGTACGCTTTTACGTCGCTTTCAGCAACATGGCAGCAATATCACGACGGTTGACACCAGGTTTTACACATTGTATCCATATGGGGAATAGAACCCCGATCTTCGTGACGAACACACGCTTTAACCGCTAGGCAATCCCTAGCCAATTAGCCAAGAAGGGGCAGTGGGACAGCCTAGTGGTTAAAGTGTTTGCTCGTCACGCTGAAGACCCGGGTTCGATTGTCCACATGGGTTCAGTGCGTGAAGCCCATTTCTGGTGTCCCCCGCCGTTATATTGCTGGAATATTGCTACAAGCGGCGTAAAACCAAACTCACTCACTCACTCATTAGCAAAGATGGCGAAGGTGCAAAAACTTTGCTGATGCATATATGCTTCACTAAGATCTGCTAATCGTTGGTTCGAATCCTTGAATGCTCTCGACTGTGATCCTTTGTTTGTACGTACCAGGATACCGTGGTAAAAGCATCCTCAGACCTTCATCCATGTTACTGTATGGGAATTACTATTGCCATATCCCTAAGATGGTCTCTGTACAACTGCTCCCATTCTGCGTATATTTAGGTGGTAGACACTTCAGGATTTCGACCCACATTAACCTGTAATTATGTACGAAGGGGGCTGAAAGCCCAGCCTACTCACTCACTGATCATACCTTCCTGACGCTATGTTTCAGTTCGGCCTGATGGAGACGGTGTTGACCTGCATCCAGGATGAGTTCCCTCATCTCCGGAAGTACAAGAGTTGGCTCTGCGTCGGTCTCGGAATCGGCTGCTACTTCCTGGCTCTGCCTTGTGTCTGTCCGGTAGGTGGCGCCCAAGTTGGAATTCACTGATGAATTCCAATGAAGTCGTAAAGGCCGTAACTGATACATCTTTTGTACACTTTTCTGATCATGAACAATGGCAGTGGATTGGTCAAGGGCACTCTTCAAAACAAGTTATAGACAACCTGAATCTTCATATTCCATAGTTATAGTATGAGAGATTAACTAGCAGTGTATGAAATGAGGTCGACCGCCCGAGACGGGCTAGATTTCTGACAGGTGGTCTAAATTTACAGCTAGCCAGCTCGATGGTAAAAATGTTATGTTCCATACATCTGAGTAAATTCACCACATCTTGGTGTCTGGTCTGGTTAAATCCATTTTGGGCTGGTAACATTTTGAGTGAGTGAGTTTAGTTTTACGCCGCGCTCAGCAATATTCCAGCTATATGGCGGCAGTCTGTAAATAATCGAGTCTGGACCAGACAATCCAGTGATCAACAGCATGAGCATCGATCTGCGCAATTGGGAACCGATCACATGCGTCAACCAAGTCAGCGAGCCTGACCACCCGATCCCTTTAGTCGCCTCTTACGACAAGCATGGGTTACTGAAGATCAATATTCTAACCCGGACCTTCACGGGTAGGTAGCCCTGATGTGGCCTGATTTTGGCTTATTTCGGATGTACCGGGTGGTCCTTGAGTAGTATATGATACAAGAATAGATACAATGTGGATCAATCAAAATTTGAAAAGGTTTTTCGTGACCTTGTCCTGACTTTAAGGTTTTATAACACACAAGTCGATCCGTTGGTCATTTATGTACGAAAACTTCTTGAAATTGAATTTGTCCTCCACATTATAAATGTTATCAGAGGGTTCCTTGATTAACATCTACCCCTCTAAAATTCAAGTTGTGTGTAAGTTCTCATGTGACATTGACGTCTTTAGGGGGGCGACTACGTGGTGACGCTGATGAACGACTTCGGCGCCGACTTCTCGGTCTTGGTGGTGGCGTGCTTCGAGTGTATTGCCGTCATGTGGGTTTATGGTAGGTGCTTATAAAAATATACATAATAATAACGATGATGATGATGATAATGATGATGTGAAAGTAGTAAATTTCATAAAATTCAGTTTTCCGGGGATTATTTCCAATGATTGTTTTGCAGGCGTGATGCGGTTCATGAAGGATATCGAATACATGCTGGGAAGTAAGCCCCACGTCTGGCCTTACTGGGTGTTCTGTTGGGCTGTAGCATCACCATTCCTTATCGGGGTAAGTACGGTAATCTGGTACTGTTGTATCAGGAGAATATGCTACTAATATGTGCGGTAATCTGCTACTGATGTGTACCGTAATCTGGTACTGATGTGTACGGTGATCTATTACAGATATGTACGGTAATCTGTTACTGATGTGTACGGTGATAGGTTACAGATGTGTACGGGAAACTGTTACTGATGCGTACGGTAATCAGTTAATGATGTGTACGGTGATCTGTTACTGATGGGTACGGTAATCTGTTACTGATGTCTCCAGTAATCTGTTACTGTTGTGTGTGGTAATAGGTTAGTGCTGTGTCCAGTAAGCTGCTACTGATGTGTCCGACAATCTGTTACTGCAGTATGCTGTAATCTAAGACTTTAACTTCTGCCCAATCTGTGTACGGTGATCTGATGTGTCCGACAATCTGTCACTGTTGTATACAGTATTTTGCTACCAAATATAAACACCTCACTGTTCTTGTCCTTCCAAGCGCTGTTGGCAGTGCAGGAAGGTAAAACGTTTGTCTGTCTATGGGAGAATTTGGGTTCTCTGAAACTCCCAGTCATAAATGATAATTGGATGGGTACAATGCTTGACGTTGTGTACTGTATGTCATGACACTCTGCCGTGACGGATCGTGGTTTATACTGTCAACCACTGGTTCCCTGGTTCAGTTCCAGTTATCAGTGGGTCATTAAATCCATTCACTCATTGATAACAGCTCGCCAAAATAAAAATGGAAAAGTGGAATATCATAAAAAACTCACACATTCCTTCAACTGGGGCGGTTGGATAGCTTAGTGGTTAAAGCGTTTGCTCGTCACGCTCAATCAATGTGCTGCCCATTTCTGTGCTCAAACCATCAACCATGTGATTCCTTTTCCTGCCTGTGCTCAAACCATCAACCGCTTGACGGGATTCTTTATATTGAACAAACGTAACTATTGCAATATTTACAAAAATGTTTCTTCTCAATAGGCTATGTTCATATACCGGATGGTGAAGTTTAAACCGCCTACCTACCCGAATGATATGGCCTACCCGGTGTTCGCCCAGATAATAGGCTGGGTACTCGCTGCTGTCGTCATCATCCCGATCCCTGGGTGGTTCCTCTATATATTACTGAAAACACCTGGCTCAATCACCGAGGTAAGACGCAAACACTTGTAGTTGGTCCCACTATGTGGCACTTCCTATGTCAGGTCAATCATATAATACCTGCAGTTATTTACAGGCCGCCGCCATATAGCTGAAATATTGCTGAGTGCGGCGTAAATCTAAACTGACTCACTCACGCACAAATACCTGCAGCGGTGGGGTAGCCTAGTGGTTAAAGCGTTCGCTCGTCACGCCGAACACCCGTGTTCGATTCTCCACATGGGTACAAATTTGTGAAGCCACTAAATAGTGTCCCCGCCATATTACTGCTGGAATATTGCTATAAGAGGCATAAACCTAACTCGCTCGCTAACTCACTCACTCACTCACTCACTCATGTAATACCTGTGAAGACCCGGGTTAGATTTGACTGATGCATATCATCGCATAACAATTGTGTAGATCGATGCTCATGATGTCAATCACTGGATTGTCTGGTCCAGAATCAGTTATTTACAGACGGCCGTGACGTAGCTGGAATATTGCTGAGTGAGGCATTAAACAGCAAACAAACAATAAACGGAAATTGCTTTTACAAAATCAGTTTTAGAGACTTTCCTAATGCAACACATAACCAGGGTGCTTGCCGTACATGCTTAATTGAATGGGAATCGGATGGACACAATGGCTGACTGGTTGAAAAACAGCGTGGACTTTAGCTTATCAAAAACTGCTTCACCCCACCCGGAAGTAGTTTTCAACAGTCATATTCGTGGAATATTAGTGGCTGTGAACAACATTCACTTGACGTCGAATGTAGCAGCCATGTGTAATGTTTTTCATCCTTGTAGCTGTAAATTGTCTAACACTTTTGAAATAACATTGTGAAAACATATGTGAGGTGAGGTGAAATGGGAGTCGTCTTGAGAATATTTGCTCATATGACGAGCCGTGTGTGTGTATGAACTTGTACTAGCCCAGACTGAAGCTGGTTTTAAGTGCTCACTTTTCACCCCCTTGTAGCTGACTAACCATTGTACCCATTAATGCCGAGCGCCAGACAGGGACCAACAAGTACCAGTCTTTTGTATGACGCGGTCGAGGTATCGAACCTGGGACCTTCCGCTCTCCGGGCGGACGCTCTAACCACTAAACGGATAAAACACATGTAGTTGTTGTGACATTACAGTGCGTGACATCAGGGCTGTGTAGTAGCCTAGTGGTTAAAGCGTTCGCTGATCACGCCAAAGACCCGGGTTCGATTCCCCACATGGGTGCAATGTGTGAAGCCCATTTCTGGTGTCCCCAGCCGTGATATTGCTAGAATATTGTTAAAAGCGGCGTAAAACCCAACTCACTCAGTCACCTTATAAGCACGTTCGTTGTGAACGAAGATTAATGTACCATGATATATTTTTCAGCGTCTTAGAAAAATATTTTCACCAACATCTAAATGGGGTCCAGCTGATAGAGGAGAGAACTACCGAGTCAGTCCACAAGACTATCCGATGAAAGGAAACCTCAATCCGGCCTTCACCAAGTAAACAACATCAACCATTGACTGTTTGATCTCTTTAGTTGACATTGTTTTAGTCCTCTCAGACCTGCAAGCCATTTCTGCATGGAAACGTCACACCAGCCATGTTTCTGGGGCAGGAAAGAATTCTTGCAGGAGTTAACCGAGGGTCTTTTACTCGAAAGTGATTCTGCGGTAGAGCGGTTTATGCAAGACACTTGGTATAAGACGTGTGTATCCTGTACTAATAAACGTCATAATGAATATATTGGACGCTTATCCCGAGTCTACATTGTACACTAACATTGAAAAATATTAAAAGAAATTCAAGTCGGTGATCAGTGACTCGTCCGAATACAAACACTCTTGTGCCGAAGTTTTATGTGTCGAACTTATATTATGGTTGTCTCGAAGTAAAAGCGGTCACTGCACAAGTGCGGTTTATCGAACCTGTTCAATGTTCAATTTCGACACGATGGTGTTTGACTATTTTTAGTTGTGAAACTCTTAGAAAATTTGATTTTTAAGTTGTAAATAAATGTGTTAATATTTTTGTTTTACACTTCCATATTACCAACAATAATTTGCAAATATATTTAGTTGCAAAATTATACTGAATTCATCACAATAAAAGGCCGTACCTCGGGTAGAAAAGGCCTTATATGAACAAAATGCCCATCAACATAATGGCGGATGAATATAGGTTAATCAGAACTTTTGCATCCTTTTGCGTCGAACCAATGAATTTCTGTCAGAGAATGAATGATAATGGCTTGAATGTGTTGCTTTGCTTCTTGTCATTTGATCAAATGTAGATTTGAAACATATAAATTTCATGTAAAACTGATGTTTCACGGCTTTTAAAATGTTACATTGTCTCGAACTGGTGGTGAAACCGGAAACCCTCTAATTCCCAGAAATGTTACCCCATTTCGCTGAAATCTTGCCCTCTATTCGAAGATCTATTACCCCTTACTCCGAAAGAAACACTACCTTGTAATTAGTTGAAATAACATCATTAAGGGTATGAACGTGTCAGTGATTTTTGTACAGTGTAAATAATATAGGGCCAGGTGCTGAGTTGCAGTTTAAGTTTTAAAAATACCTATACCAAGCTATATTTACTCCACTTGCACTGTAAAACCTTGCTAACCCGGATGCTTTCGTGTACAGTAAAATCATCCTGATTAATCAAATTTGGTCAGCCTTGGAACCAGGGTGCATCTGATCATACCTGGAGGCTCCCCACAATATCGTTTTCGAGGTAGTCCGGATTAAAAAGGTCCACATTATCGAGGTTCTCATTTATGTGACAGAGCACCCATATCAAGTAATGCTTATCTTAAGATACATACACTTAAAAAGGACTTGCACAGCGTCTTTAGCATCCGTACAATGAACATTGCTTTTAGCATAGATTTCTTACGATTATGAAAACGGTTTTGTGGGGTTATTGGTTATATGAATGTAACAGTTCACTCTATCCTCGTGAGTCAGGGGATGTTTTAATGTTCCTGGCAACGGCTGGGGGTATGGCTTCTTTAGTTGAGCGAGAATACAATTCATACACTGTGTATCTTAGATCATAGTTCGTTTTGAGGTTCAACGTAAAGTTTAACTTGTGATTAAGCATTATGTTTCTGACAGACATACTGATTGTTTCCTGTATCCGTCATTTTAATGGTGCCTTTTTCTGATGGAGACGCTCAAAGGCACTGGCGGTTTGGTGTCAGCATCCCCATAAACCTGGACACTTTATTCCAGATATAGTTTCAAATGGCACGTGTGTCCTGAATGCTTTTACTAATCTGCCGTCTTATGTTCTGAAAAAGAGCTTGCCTTATTTGAGAAGAGCGTTTTGATGTAATTAAATAATCTGTACCTTGAAACAAACGGGTATAAAAGGTTCAGTTATCCTTACATTCACCTGATATTGATATATTAGAAACGTGTGTGTTTTTAATCCAAGATTCCAATGTGTCACCCATGTCCTGCTTCATGTGAGTTTCAATAGGACCAGTAAGTTTCGCGAGGCGCTACTTCCGGTACTAAGCTGGTTCCTTTGCGCACGTCAACTTGCGATAAGCGAGACGGGGCCCAGGTTACTTCCGGTACCAGACTTCCGGTGGCAAGCGTATGTTCAAGAACCAGTTCTGGTTCCAAATTGCGCGACTGGGTTTATTAGACCGAACCAAGTGTACAACCACTACACGGGCGGTGTAAAACATTGTAAAACACATGTAGTTGTTGTGACATTACTGTGCGTGACATCAGGGCGATTGAGGTAGCCTAGTGGTTAAAGCGTTCGCTGGTCACGCCAAAGACCCGGGTTCGATTCCCCACATGGGTACAATGTGTGAAGCCCATTTCTGGTGTCCCCAGCCGTGATAGTGCTAGAATATTGCGGCGTAAAACCCAACTCACTCCAGTCACCTTATAAGCACGTTCGTTGTGAACGAAGATTAATGTACCATGATATATTTTTCAGCGTCTTAGAAAAATATTTTCACCAACATCTAAATGGGGTCCAGCTGATAGAAGAGAACTACCGAGTCAGTCCACAAGACTATCAGATGAAGGAAACCTCAATCCGGCCTTCACCAAGTAAACAACATCAACCATTGACTGCTGGATCTCTTTTTGCTGACATTGTTTTGAGTCCTCTTAGACCTGCAAACCATTTCTGCACGAAACGTCACACCAGCCATGTTTCTGGGGCAGGGAAGAATTCTTGCAGGAGTTAACCAAGGGTCTTTTACTCGAAAGTGATTCTGCGGTAGAGCGGTTTATGCAAGACACTTGGTATAAGACGTGTGTATCCTGTACTAATAAACGTCATAATGAATATATTGGACGCTTATCCCGAGTCTACATTGTACACTAACATCGAAAAATATTAAAAGAAATTCAAGTCGGTGATCAGTGACTCGTCCGAATACAAACACTCTTGTGCCGAAGTTTTATGTGTCGAACTTATATTATGGTTGTCTCGAAGTAAAAGCTCGAATTATGTTCAGTCACTGCACGATTTTAGTGCGGTTGTATCGAACCTGAAGCTCGAATTATGTTCAATTTCGACACGATGTTGTTTGACTATTTTTAGTTGTGAAACTCTTAGAAAATTTGATTTTTAAGTTGTAAATAAATGTGTTAATATTTTTGTTTTACACTTCCATATTACCAACAATAATTTGCAAATATATTTAGTTGCAAAATTATACTGAATTCATCACAATAAAGGCCGTACCTCGGGTAGAAAAGGCCTTATATGTACAAAATGCCCATCAACATAATGGCGGATGAATTTAGGTTAATCAGAACTTTTGCATCCTTTTGCGTCAGACCAATGAATTTCTGTCAGAGAATGAATGATAATGGCTTGAATGTGTTGCTTTGCTTCTTGTCATTTGATCAAATGTAGATTTGAAACATATAAATTTCATGTAAAACTGATGTTTCACGGCTTTTAAAATGTTACATTGTCTCGAACTGGTGGTGAATCCGGAAACCCTCTAATTCCCAGAAATGTTACCCCATTTCGCTGAAATCTTGCCCTCTATTCGAAGATCTATTACCCCTTACTCCGAAAGAAACACTACCTTGTAATTAGTTGAAATAACATCATTAAAGGGTATGAACGTGTCAGTGATCTTTGTACAGTGTAAATAATATAGGGCCAGGTGCTGAGTTGCAGTTTAAGTTTTAAAAATACCTATACCAAGCTATATTTACACCACTTGCACTGTAAAACCTTGCTAACCCGGATGCTTTCGTGTACAGTAAAATCATCCTGATTAATCAAATTTGGTCAGCCTTGGAACCAGGGTGCATCTGATCATACCTGGAGGCTCCCCACAATATCGTTTTCGAGGTAGTCCGGATTAAAAAGGTCCACATTATCGAGGTTCTCATTTATGTGACAGAGCACCCATATCAAGTAATGCTTATCTTAAGATACACATACACTTAAAAAGGACTTGCACAGCGTCTTTAGCATCCGTACAATGAACATTGCTTTTAGCATAGATTTCTTACGATTATGAAAACGGTTTTGTGGGGTTATTGGTTATACTGAATGTAACAGTTCACTCTATCCTCGTGAGTCAGGGGATGTTTTAATGTTCCTGGCAACTGGGGTATGGCTTCTTTAGTTGAGCGAGAATACAATTCATACACTGTGTATCTTAGATCATAGTTCGTTTTGAGGTTCAACGTAAAGTTTAACTTGTGATTAAGCATTATGTTTCTGACAGACATACTGATTGTTTCCTGTATCCGTCATTTTAATGGTGCCTTTTTCTGATGGAGACGCTCAAAGGCACTGGCGGTTTGGTGTCAGCATCCCCATAAACCTGGACACTTTATTCCAGATATAGTTTCAAATGGCACGTGTGTCCTGAATGCTTTTACTAATCTGCCGTCTTATGTTCTGAAAAAGAGCTTGCCTTATTTGAGAAGAGCGTTTTGATGTAATTAAATAATCTGTACCTTGAAACAAACGGGTATAAAAGGTTCAGTTATCCTTACATTCACCTGATATTGATATATTAGAAACGTGTGTGTTTTTAATCCAAGATTCCAATGTGTCACCCATGTCCTGCTTCATGTGAGTTTCAATAGGACCAGTAAGTTTCGCGAGGCGCTACTTCCGGTACTAAGCTGGTTCCTTTGCGCACGTCAACTTGCGATAAGCGAGACGGGGCCCAGGTTACTTCCGGTACCAGACTTCCGGTGGCAAGCGTATGTTCAAGAACCAGTTCTGGTTCCAAATTGCGCGACTGGATTTATTAGACCGAACCAAGTGTACAACCATGAGTTGCTGTCACAGCTGTTGACAGTCATAATAGTTGGCTTATTTGGGGATGGTTAGATCGGAAAGTTGTTATTCCAGTCAACTGACAACCTTTGGGACCATTCGAAAAGGTATGAAACGTTGTTTGTCACCGGAAGTACTAAGGTCTCGCGAAGTGCCGTGACCTACTTTCGGGCCCTATTCAGATCTATATGCACATACAGATGACCCTCGTTACTCCGGACGTTATCGTCCATCCGGATGATCTTGCCCGTAAGGCGGTTTTCGGATTAACGGGATTTTCATGTATTCACGTTTTAGCAATATCATATCAACGTCATTTTACAAGATTATCAGTTGCTGTATATGTATCTGTAAGTTTACCTATGTCAATGAAATGCTCAACATATATATGTAGATATATTTTATCAAGGAAATGTCACTATACCATACACCAATTTCATTTCGTGATTATATTATATTGTGTACTATATTTTTTATACCACAGTGTACAATAAATGTTTTCTGAAATGATCAATGTTGTTATGTCTTCGTGGTTTCGTTCCACGGAATTCTTCAGCGTGACTTACAGGAATATGTAAATGGTGAACTGGGCGGTACCAACACCAGAGACAGAAATACAGGAATATATGTATGGTAAATGGTTCTGATAGAAATTTGCATGGTAAACAGTGAGAGGGTGGAAGTGAGTGAGTGCATATGTGACAATGAGCGTGGCATAGAACATGTTTATATTGTCTAGTTGTCATAGATTCATGTCGAATTATATACCTTTGAATGATCATATTTAAAGATAAATAGCTGCGAGCTTGGGGCTTTTCAATATCTCATAAAAGCATAAACAGTCATATGAATGTCAGTTGAAGAATGGTCAGGCGCATTCACAATGAAGGCCTCCCAAAATCTGAACATCGCACTCCGCCATATAGCTCGGATGGTACTTACTACGGCGTTAAACAACAAACTGAACATCGTACAGAGGCCCTTTCAACTTAACAGCCGCCATTTAGCTGGAATATTGCCGAGTGCGGCGTTAAACAACAAACTGAACATCGTACAGAGGCCCTTTCAACTTAACAGCTGCCATTTAGCTGGAATATTCCCGAGTGCGGCGTTAAACAACAAACTGAACATCGTACAGAGGCCCTTTCAACTTAACAGCCGCCATTTAGCTGGAATATTGCCGAGTGCGGCGTTAAACAACAAACTGAACATCGTACAGAGGCCCTTTCAACTTAACAGCTGCCATTTAGCTGGAATATTGCCGAGTGCGGCGTTAAACAACAAGCTGAACATCGTACAGAGGCCCTTTAAACTTAACAGCCACCATTTAGCTGGAATATTCCCGAGTGCGGCGTTAAACAACCAACTGAACATCGTACAGAGGCCCGCTTTCAACTTAACAGCCGCCATTTAGCTGGATTATTGCCGAGGGTGCGGCGTTAAACAACAAACTGAACATCGTACAGAGGCCCTTTCAACTTAACAGCCACCATTTAGCTGGAATATTCCCGAGTGCGGCGTTAAACAACCAACTGAACATCATTACAGAGGCCCTTTCAACTTAACAGCCGCCATTTAGCTGGATTATTCCCGAGTGCGGCGTTAAACAACCAACTGAACATCGTACAGAGGCCCTTTCAACTTAACAGCCACCATTTAGTTGGAATATTCCCGAGTGCGGCGTTAAACAACCAACTGAACATCGTACAGAGGCCCTTTCAACTTAACAGCCGCCATTTAGCTGGACTATTGCCGAGTGCAGCGTTTAACAACAAACTGAACATCGTACAGAGGCCCTTTCAACTTAACAGCCGCCATTTTAGCTGGATTATTGCCGAGTGCGGCGTTAAACAACAAACTGAACATCGTACAGAGGCCCTTTCAACTTAACAGCCGCCATTTAGCTGGATTATTGCCGAGTGCGGCGTTAAACAACAAACTGAACATCGTACAGAGGCCCTTTCAACTTAACAGCCACCATTTAGCTGGAATATTCCCGAGTGCGGCGTTAAACAACCAACTGAACATCGTACAGAGGCCCTTTCAACTTAACAGCCGCCATTTTAGTTGGAATATTCCCGAGTGCGGCGTTAAACAACCAACTGAACATCGTACAGAGGCCCTTTCAACAACAGCCACCATTTAGTTGGAATATTCCCGAGTGCGGCGTTAAACAACCAACTGAACATCGTACAGAGGCCCTTTCAACTTAACAGCCGCCATTTAGCTGGACTATTGCCGAGTGCAGCGTTTAACAACAAACTGAACATCGTACAGAGGCCCTTTCAACTTAACAGCCGCCATTTAGCTGGATTATTGCCGAGTGCGGCGTTAAACAACAAACTGAACATCGTACAGAGGCCCTTTCAACTTAACAGCCGCCATTTAGCTGGAATATTGCCGAGTGCGGCGTTAAACAACAAACTGAACATCGTACAGAGGCCCTTTCAACTTAACAGCCGCCATTTAGCTGGAATATTGCCGAGTGCGGCGTTAAACAACAAACTGAACATCGTACAGAGGCCCTTTCAACTTAACAGCCGCCATTTAGCTGGAATATTGCCGAGTGCGGCGTTAAACAACAATCTGAACAACCTTTCAACTGAAGTTCAAACTCTTATCGGGCTAATTGTCCTGCAATAGATTTCTATTTCATAACCGTACGCAGAAAAGTATATTTTCTGAGAGGAAGCATTACGGTGCCTACGTTCTATTTGCGAGTGCAATTGTGAATACACATTACCTCGTAGACACTAGCTCTCGTGACACCTTTCAACAAAATTAACAAACAAAACAAAATGTTTAAAAAAAAATACTTTTCTGTATCTAAAGTACTGCGGAAATAGAAAAAACTGCTTTTAGGCTGTTTCTCTGTATCCCTAAAATTTACCTAATTGCAAATAGCATATATCGAAATAACCCACATCGGCCTAACTTGGCTTTCAGTGGGATGCGTAATAGGATATCCATAAAAAGCATGTTTACTCGTAAAATCGGGCAAAACTTATAGATCAGACTTTTGATGACAATTAGGTCGCGCAGCCTGGAATGGAATGCACGTGTTGTCTACAGGCACAAGGGGTCATCTCAAAGATACTTTATGCGTTTTCTAGTGTGTTGAGTTTGTCTCATATATTGATTAACATCTAACGTGTCTTTCTTTCATCAAGTTTATGTTGAGATGTGTAAAATAGTATGATACCCATAGAAAGGCTTAAATCAGCCATCGTATTAAATGTCTCAAAATATATAGGTGACATGACGACCTGAACATCGACAGGACTGGATATTATTTGTAAAGTTTTACTTCCCTAGTGTAATTCCCCAGTGTAATTCCCCTAAAGGATTATTTTATCTTAGCTGATATCGCTATCCCCCAGCCCGACCCCAACCACCGTCTGCTACATCCGTCCTGGTTTTGCTTTTGAGACGACCCCTTCTAGCTGTTTGTTTTTATGGTGATAGTGTAGTCCTTTGTACTACAATATAATCGCACACTAATTTGCATAAAGCCATGGTCTGTTCCAAATAAGTCGCTTTGGACTTTGGGGGAAAAACCGCATTGCTCATTGCTGCACTAATCTCTCCTCAGTAAAGTCCTTTTTTTCACGTTTCCTCTCTTCCTACCACTGAGACTGTAGTTAGGCCGAACTTAGTTTAACAGATGTTTCACACTTTCACATATTAACGACATCAATTGCAGATATTAATGTGGAAAAAACAGGGTTTTTATTTCCGACATTACTTTTGGCACGTCCATATCGTCTGGGTTTGGGTTTGTTTTTTTTTGCAATTTAGCGCGTATTTTGAATGGGGCTTTGTTTCAAGTTGGATGTGGTCCTCCAATTATTTCCAAGGTCGGTGACATCGTGCAGTCCGTGCAACCTCAGGTTCTTCTTGCTTCTGCTGTGAATTGGGACAACAATAGAGATAAACACTGAGATATTCTCTGCTGCGGAACGCACGTCGGTTCCTGTTGTTCAGTGTGTGCTTGTTGTGTTTTATGTACACGGGAATGGGGGCGACTAGGAGAATTCATGTATCATTAAGTAGTCTCACACTTTGATCATTACTGACCGACTGTCTGAGAAAAGACATATACAGCCATCTTGCATGTACAGCCATCTACAGGTCCGAAAGAGGTCAGCCCCCTAAGAAAAGAACCAGAACAACCACCAAACGTCTCCACGAACGCCTTGAAGGTCTGCGCAAGACCTACGCAGCGAAGGACAAGACACTCGGGGACTTTCTCCACGGCGTCGACCGTTGTGTGCGTTTTTGAAATGTGGCAAGATGTTTAGTCATAGATATGTTTGAATGTGTGAAAATATATGCTGTTGTCATAGTCATATATGTATTGATTCATGAATGAGTCTTAAATGTGAAAATGTGAAATTGCAATTGTCATATCTATATATGCAAAAATGTGCTTACAAAATGTGCTTACATATGTATTTTGGTTGTTTTTGTTATCGATTATGAATGACTGATATGAATAAAATTCATTTCTGTGACTAAACATGTCATTAGTTTGTTTTTTTCTTAGGGTGGATTTTATTAGGGGTGGATTTTAACCTAGGTTGCAATTTTCGGGTGGATTTTGTCCGGGTGGATTTTGTCCTGGATCACCCCCAACAGGCAGCAGTGGGTTACCTGGGATAAGAGGACACACATGAATGAGCGTGCAGGGCAGGTTGTTCCGTGTGTAATATGGTCCAGGGTATTTTGGCTGCCCATAAAATTGACGCTGTGACTTCATTCATTCATTTATTTCAATATACATATTATCATCATCATCAATCTCATCAACAGTATTATGAAATACAACTATTAGGCAATATTAGCACTACCATCATGATACAAACATACATTATTACAAAATATCACATTATACACAATATCACAAGCATACATCATTATTCATAGTCCCACAAGGTGAGACACACCGTAAGCAAGTGGAGTCTCGACACCATCTTGCAACAGTCTATCCTGGCGGTCTAGCCGTTCTTCAAGCTGGCGATATTTGTTTTTCTTAGGTCTCACACAACCACCACCCTGCAACTGCATCAATGTTATTTCTGTGTAGTTCTGGTGTGACCTTATCAGATTGATATGTCAACGAGATAAGTGATGTGTTCAGTTTAAACATAACATCAATCATTAATTTAATCACTCACTCGTATTCGTGTCAGTTCAGGTGAACTGTGTTCACGAGCTCAGCGCAGTGGTAAGGTGAACTGTGTTCACCAGCCCAGGGGTAACTAAAAAGTGTATCACCGGTTGTTCAAGAGATTAGCATGGTTCAGTGACCTGAAACCTTTAAACAATATCTGCTGGCAAACTGGGGACACCCCGTTTCGGCGGAGCTGCTAAAACCGCTGTCAAGCAAGTGATGTCTACTAGGTAGTCTCGTAAGTTTAGACCTTTGGGTCGAGGTAAAAATCCTTGGATGTTTGATGTTGTGACGACGGTGTTGAAGGGAATAGGACTCTAGCTTTCTACCAAATGTAAAAT